AGCAAAAGTGACAAAATTATTCTAAAGAATTGTTCATTATCATTAATAAGACATCAATGTTTCTCAGTATGTTCGATATCGTATTTGATGTACTATACTTAATCTCTTTTCTTACTTATAAATGTAAAATATTCCCGTCGATGATGTGATAAATAACTTTTTTTAATCTCCTTATACAAACATAGATTTTACTCAATTAGAAAATTAACGTCGTGTTGAATAATTTCTAGTAATTTATATATAAATATCTCGTTTTTTTTTTTTCTCTCTTTTTTTCGTTATCAACTACATCAGACTAGGTCAGGTTGCTTATTTAATTTTATATTCTACAATCTAGATTCTAGATAATAAATATTACTGGCATTGACGAACACTTGACACCTTTCCATTGCGAATCAATGCCTGTTAATTGAAATAATCGAAAGACAGATATCGAAAGTGTTTCTTTTTTCTCGCCAAAAGTTCTCCGTTCTACTTCGCGTACGAAGAACGACGAAAAAGACAGTTTGCAATTACAAGGAATGGCACTGTAGCTTACTGTAACATTCCTTTAGAAACCGTGCATAATTTTCTCTATACGCTACAAAGCGTGTTATTAAATAAGTATGTTCAGGCGTGTACGACATCCTGCGCGCCACGTTTGCATTTAACGAGGTAAATACCGATTTTCACTCGACGTATCGGCACACACCGGGATGAGAAGGATTCATGTATTAAAATCTGTTAATTCGCGATTAAGAGAGAATAATAATTGCGCGCGTGCGCTTGAACCGGCCGATTACATCAATTAGTAGGATTAATTGAAAAGTCTTGCAAATTAAATATCAATTCAGCAGGATAATGCTGCGTCAGTATAATAAACGGAAGTAATTTTCAAAAGCAATCGCTCAATTTTCTTTTCTTTAATTAAAAATCCGCAATCTTGAAAATTGATTTTTAAAACTTTAGAGAGAGAGAGAGAGAGAGAGAGAGAGAGAGAGAGCAAATATATTATTTGTTTCGTTTCAAGTCAAGGAAATGTGATCTTTGAGACTCTCGAGTGATATTTGCACAGACAAGTATGCAGGAAAGTTTAATCGAATGCAAAATTAAGTCGAGAACGGAATAAAACAGAAGTTTCACGCGGCGAAAATTATTTTTGCAGTTCGCCTGGCAAATCTAATAGTGCAATCTAGTATCTAAATACGAAGCGAATCGCGGCACACGCGTGAAGTTATTCGCATAATTTCACTCTCTTTCGTAACACCGTCTAAACCGTAAACCCAATATGGAACACGTTTACCTTACTACGCTTGCGCAGGACAAGATCTTTATGAATTATACAACACACAATCGTCGTTTGTGCATGATAATAAAAAAAAAAAAAAAAGAAAAGA